TATCTGGTAAACCAGAAGGAAGCCGAAGATAACAGGAGTTGCACCACAGCTCGAAAAAAGCTAAGAACAGTCCTTCTGTCACTTGCTCATCTACAGCTCCTTTCACCCAAGCTTGCAGCGCTATCGGGGTCTTGAAGATATAACAGTTGGGTTTGTTTAGATACTCCCATGATCTTCAGTGCAGCATAAAAGGGGGATTGGTTTCTGTTGAGGCAAACATCAAGATATATTGACCCAGTGAAGCAAGTAATGAGTGAAGAGGCATGGTTTCTTTCTCTGTAAAATGGGAATTATAAAACATATCTACCTCTCATAGGTCTTATAGGATTGCATTTATTTAGGGCAAATTCTCCCCTAGGGTATGATGTTTGTAATTCCCACTAAAGTCATTGGGAATTCAGATCTGTGCACATCCGTTTAAATCTGTCCCTTAATGTTTGCAGAAGCTATTGAGACATCTCCGTGTAAAACACTCCAGATGTTCATGTATTATTAAAAAATCAAATGCTGCCTTAGGCCTAAGGTTTTAAACACACAAAGTGGGAGATATTGATTCTTGACAACGTGTAAAGCTGGATGTGGCTTTGACCTTTTAGTACGCAGTATGATTTTCTGTATAATCTTTCTCTTCTTTATTTTGCCTTCAGTGTGGTGGGATTGCCCTTTGATTTTTCTCATTGAATTTCTTTTCTTTTTTAAAAGATGAAAAAAGAGAGTTATGATGGGTAGCATGCTCACCAAATACCATATTCTCATACCATGTACCCTCAGATAAGACACACACTTTGTTTTGGGGAGGCAGAATGAAGAAAAAAAGATCTTTCCTTTTACCAAATTTTTAGTTGTTAATTTTATGAGAAGTTGAGTGTGGTATGCAAATAAATACAGTAATATAGCAACTGAAGTAAAAACCACTGCTTGCTTTGATCAGCAGGATCATGGATGCATGCTTGGTCCATAGGCCTATTTTAAGAGGAAGTAGACTCCTATATGTGCACAGAATGGCATTTTCAACTCAAATTTATCCAAGCAATAGCAGTACATTTTATTTTTGGAGCATTTAATGCATACTTTATTACTGAGTCTTTGCAATGCTGCTGGGATGCTTAGGCACCCCCAGACAGGCAGCTGAAATGCTAGTGATCTGGTGATTTCCTTCCTGCATGATGGATTTTAGTGCCTTTACCAGGCTTTCAGAATCAAAGAGAAGAGTAGAACAGGGGTGGCAACCTGCACTGTGTGTGCCACAAACTTCATGGACAGTCTCTGCGTGTGACGTGCAGCAAATCGGGGAGGGGACAGACAGCAGAGCAGCAAGTAGGGCAGGGAGCACAAGGTAGAGCAGCAAATTGGATGGGGAAAGGAATTGGAGTGGCACTTGGGGAGACTGTAGCACTAATCTATGGGTGCTCCTGCCAGAAAAGTTGGCTTTCACTGGAGTTAGACCATGAGTCTTGGCTGCCTCAAGATCAGTGAAGCTGAACTCCAGCGAGTGATATCCATCATTCCTTAGCTGCAAGGATGTTTAGTCGGTGAAGCAAATAAGGGAATTCTAGAGGGAGGGACCTCATAACCCCTAAAAATGCACATGGCTATCTCTCTCGTGTATAAACGTGCGCACACATATGCCTGGCACTATTCTGTGATTAAGCAGTTTGTTGCAGCTGCCTGAAAGAGCTTTCTGCCCCCAGACAACTCTTCATGTTTATACTGCGTAGTACTGTACATGTCTTGGATATGAACAGTAAACTAATCTGCTGCTTACACTGTGAACTGAGTTGCTTTTGCCATTCATTTTCTTCCTCCTCCTCCACTGCAACTCCAGCTTCTGTCCAGGCTGGAACCGTGGCCACCCTCTGTTGACGTTCCTCCTGCCAGTGCTTTAGACTCTCGAGGGTTCCTCAGTCATGATGGAATCGGTGCTGTTAAAAGCAGACAACATATTTCAAGGCTGGAGTGCGAGGGAGGTATTTGAAAAATCCCTTGTTGGCAGTGCAGCAGGGCACTGTTCCCAAGGCTTGCAAATCCTGGAAACTGTGTGAAAGTTAATTATGGAGATCCACCGTATATGGGAGAGTGACCAGTAAAGTTTCTTATTCCTATCTGGAGACTGTATCTGTGCCTGTGTCTGTTGAAATGTAGGAGGATTGGTGGATTGTACTGAGAGTTTCATAAAAAGGTGAAATCTATTGCTCTTTATCCATGATATGCACCAAAGTGTGGAGTCTCTGATCCAAGTGTGGATGGTGAATGCTACTGGGCTACAGGATGTAAGCTCTTGGCACGTGTCTCCCATGCTAAAAAGCTGTTCCTCATACCACGTGTGTATAATAGAGGACTCCAGACTGCAACATTCAGAACTGGTTTCCAAAACCCATGGGGGTGTGGGTGGGAGCACATACACTGTTTAGCTCATAGCTGGAAGACAGTAGCATTGCAATATCACATCATTATTCACTCCTGTAATGCTAGGTGTCGTGGGGGCAGGGGTGGAATAATTCCATTTGCTTGGTTTCCTCTGCGCTCATATAAATAGGATGTGCAGAGCCACAGTCTCTTCTCCCTCACACTGGTGTCTATCAGGGGTAACTCCAGAAGATGGGTTACATTAGTTTAAGTGAGAGGAGAATCAGTGAGTTTATATTGTGCATAGTATATGTGTACATGTGTATATATGTATGTGTATGTACAAATGAATGCATACACACACATCTTCAGTATATGCTGTAAGGACAGAAATGTGCATATTTGACACCTAATGGGATACATTCTGCTTTCAGAGATACTTGGGATCCAAGTTAGTGCCAAATTCAGTGAGGGTGTATCTGCATCAATGAAGACAGAACTGGGCATCATAGGTAGAATTCAGTTTGTAATCCCAGTGCAGTTACAGCTGGAATGAAATTAGCTCAATGTGTTTAGCAGAGGTTGGACGTGAGTCCTATATGTAAAATGGTTATTTCAGATCTTAGGCTTCTTAAGTAACAGATGGGTGGATACCCCATTGGCTCAGGGGACATACCAGGATTTTTTCTGTAGGTTCCATAACAAATCAGAAGACGCTTATGTTTACAGACTAGGGAAAAACATGAATTCTACTTTTTATGTAATAGCTTATTTTAAACCAGGATGGAAAGAAAAACCACCCAAAAGTGCTACATGCCCTAAAACTGGAGCTGAGCTGGAGTCTAATAAAAAGAGACTGCACTCCCACTCACATCTGCCCAGCATCTGATTTCATCGCTTTCCATTATGTAATGTATGGGCAGTTTTATGAGGTGGTTTTCTTTTTCACACACTAATTGCCTATGTGGGACTTTTTATGGGGAATTTGGAAACTTGCATAGAAATTCTGGGCTCATGGGGTGTTGCTTGTACCTTTTTCTTTTTTTTCTTTTTTTTTTTTAAAGGGAAAGTGCACAGCTGGAACTTCAGGAAATGGTTTTTATTCTTTAATTCAATTTGCCTCCAGTGTTTGAGCCTCGTTTGTCTTCAATTGTCCATATTTTATTGTCTCCCTCGTGTTTTACTAGCAAGCTTATTGTCTATCCTGGGATAGGATTTTCCATGGTCCCTAAAAACTCTTGAGGGAGAGATTGAGTACGCCCTCCCCCAGCACAGCTTGTGTATGCTGCTTGGACAGCAGGTAGGCATCTGCCTGTACCACAGGTGGCTGGGAGAGAATTGTGCTAGTGTGGCTACAGAGTTGGGTCTGTCCAACCAGCCATCTGCTGTGCTCCACAGTCTCCAGTAAGCGGTGTGCACTAACTACGGGGTTGGTTGTGCCTGAATCCGCAGATTCTGAGCTGTGCTGCAGCCCATAAAGCAAATCCTGTGATTCATTGTCTTGCTTAAAACTGTCTTTGCCCCTGCCATTCCTGAGCATCATGGCTGCTGTGCTGCATCGCTAAAACAGCAATTCTCAACCAGAATGTCATGGTGCACTGGGATGCCGCAAGATCCTTTCAAGGGTGCTGCGGTGTGCTACACAGTGGTTAGCCCTGTTAGTTGTGCAAACTTGATTTGTGAGAGAAGCCCAGAGGTTTTGAATAGGAGTATGTAGTGTTAAAAGCGCGCTGACCTGTCATGATCTTTCCGAGTTCTTGGCAACATTTTGCCTCCCCCCTCCCCTGATCTCACCAAGAGAAAGCTGAGTGGGATGGGAGCAGAGCGTCCTGCCCACCCAGTGTATTTTCTCTGCAGTCATTGCTTATTTAGTGCAGTGGCTGCTATCTTGTCTAACACCACTGGGAACAAACTATGGCGGTCATGAACTAAAAGCAATGGACAGTTGCATATTGACCTAAACAGCTAGGATACAGAGCAGCAGTGGGTCAGGCACAGGGAGCTATAACACACATTCACCAGCATGTTGCATCAACATAAAATTCCTCTATAAAAAGGAAATGGGATGATCTGTGCTAGTAATAACCACAGGGATTATTCTTTTTCTTTCAGTATTTATATTAATCTCTTTTTTTTTTTTCTTTTACTTTCAGTGGTGAAACTAGAGACAATTTCACTTTGATTCTAGTCACTTTCTCTTCCTGTTTTTTACTTAGTGGCTACTGTCAGTAGAAAACAAAATATAACAGCAGCCCACTTTAACAAGAAGATAATGAAAAGTAATGATTTCCCTCTATTTTCACTGGAACGAGAAAAAAAAATGAAAATAGAAACAGGGTTAATTCTGATATCTTTTTATGGATCTTCATGTGGTGTTAATTATCTGTGTAGGAGTTTCAAGGAAATAGATTTCAGGAAAATTATGTTAATAATTCCATCAAGAACAAGAAAAATGAAACTGGATGTGGTGTCAGTTTACAGAGAAACTGTAAACTCTGTCTCCAGGTATCTTTAGCTACTTTCTACAAATTAGCCCCACAATATGCAAAATAAGGTTGATCCCAACAAGTCTGCATTATGGACTTACACAAAAATCAGACGCACTGGAAGACACAGGAAGAGTTGTGCATGTTGTAATATTATTAATTCATTTCTGAAGAATGAGGAGGGCATTATTCTGGGCAGTGCTAATGGTTTTCATGCATGGTGGAGTTTTCTGATTTTTCCTCTGGTATACTAGGAAACAGAATTCACTCCTTCTTTTCAAAGTAAATCTATATTTTGCCCCTTCCACAGGGGATAGTGACCCTCTTGGCCAGTTGTGGATGTAAGGGCCTTGCGGGGTGGCTTTTTATTTCTGAGACAGAGAGAGAAATCCTTCTGGAGATTGGGCACTAACTTTTCTGGATGCTGCAGCTCACGCACCTGTTTCATTGCTCTGGGTCCTACCATGATGCTTTTCCTTTGGTAGGCAGCTTGGAATCCGGTTGTGTTATCATAAATATTATTCTAGTGTTTCTTATCAGGCCTCGGAAAGATCCTTTCCAGGATTTCCTCGGGAAAGTATTTTTTGTGTAAGGGGTGGGAGTAAAGGCGGAAATCAACTGCAGTCTCTTGGCCTGCATGGAGATGCTTTGAAATTTTTCCAGTGCCTGCAGTGGTGCTGGTGGAGATTATCCTGTGTGGTCAGGGTGGAGTCTGTCACCCTGTTTCTAGTGTATTTGATCTCTAGAATCCTTTCTTATAAGAAGTGGTTTGGGATAAAACACAGGTTTCATCATTTCGGGGTGAATACTGTACTTTAAAAGACATGTGAAATTGTTTGCAGCCGCCTAAAAGAAAGGCACATTTCAGACTTCCTCTCGCTTCTCTATCCCCTCCTCCATTCAGTGTATATTGGAACCACTTTGCTTGGAGGGGAAGGAAATGTTGCTCTCTGACTTCATATTTCCACTGGTGATGTGAAGTAGAGTTCACTTGGATCCCAGACCTGCCTACTGCGCACACACCACTCCCTGCCTTTGTGGAGGAGCAGAAGGCAGCTTTTCTCAGTTTATGGAGAATTCTTTGATTCCACGGCCTTTTGCTGTCTTGTCGCCTACGTCTGCCTGCAACTTGAATATTACTTGAAGAAAATACTGTTGTGCCAATGTTTTTGCTTCTTTGAGTCCCGGAGGTTGCATGTGTGGTAGATCAGACCTGCTCAGCATCAGCTCTGCAATATTATTTTATCAATTCAATCTGTCTACCTTAAGGGGTAAGCTCAGCACAACAGCATGTGCCAAAAAAACAAAAAAATATTTTTGTGGCTGGTCTTTATTCCTTTATTTTTCTCTTTAGAAAAATTCTTATTTACAGCATTTGCCTTAAAGAAAAATATCTAGATTTTATTTGGTGACCAATGTGAAATGAGGGGCTTGGTCTAGTTCTTGGTGGACTGATAGCTACATCAGAAAAACTGCAGGTGCTATTGGCTCCCTCATCTAATTCCTCAGATTCTTGACTGGAAGTGCCGCAGGGATTTTAAGTTCTGCTAAGGGTTCCTCCCAGGGAAGGCATCTTTGAGGATGTTTATAGGAAGGTTGGATGTTTCCTGGGCAGTATATGCTCTATGGATAAAAGAGGACTTTGCTGTCCATGGCCTTCAGGCTATCATCTTTAATGGCTGAAGAGAATTAAAATGCAATCTGGAATTTTTTCTGGTTCTTAGTTAAAAGACTCATATTTTTAATAATAATCCTCTGGGAAAAGGAAGGTACAACATGATTTAATTTGCAATCATACAGGCAAGGGTCATCCTGATGGGGTCTTGGAACGTATAGCAAGTGTTTAAACTAGAAATGACCTGCTTTCCTCTTAGCCCTTGTGGTCAATTAAGCACAGCGCCCTTAGGTTGCCAGTACATGTTTTCTCTCCTTTCATAAACAAGAAACAAAATTTGATTTTTTATTTCTTCTGGAAATATATATTGTGCAAGAAGGGCAGTGGTGGGGAACGAGGACGGGAGGAATCGCAGCCATACGATGTGGTCCTTCTTAGGGATCATAAAGCACTGACTTCAGGTTGTTTTTTCTAAGCTTTGCAGTTTGCAGGCAGCATGCTTTTCTGTGTTGCCTTGTTCCAAAATGTATATATTATCCACTTAGTGACTGATGTGAGTTGGGGGAGCAAGACATTCCCGCATGCACTTTCCAAAATAACTTTAGCTTAATTTTTAAGAAGACAGCTTGACCAAGGGCCCACAGTGGATCTGGATTTGAACCTGTGGCTTTTGAACTCTTCAACATTTGGGTGGATTCAGAGCCAGGGGTTTGGTTTGACCTGTTGTAAAGTTAAGGAACAGCTGCAAAAGTTGGATCCAGATCCATATTTCTTTACCAAACCTTCTTCCCCAAAGCTCAGAGGTATCCAGGTCCAGGGTTTTGGCTCAGTCCTGACTGAAATGTTTGTTTTGTGCTTTTTCTTTCAAGTCCTGAATAAACACATCGAGTACTCTTGGTTGGTGTGAGTAACGGCATTTGTGGTGGTTTATTTCAAGATGCTCTTGCCTGATCTGGCCATATGCATATCAATATCACTACAGAGCTGCTGCAAAACAGGGAAATGGGCAGGGAAAAATCTGCAGTAATTTTATAGTAAGGGTTTCTGTATTTTACAGTAAGTGTTGGTCATGATCACAAACTTGAATCTTACTAAGCAGTGGGACTCCCGACATCAGAGAACAGCTCTCCCTAGTTGCTTGGGAATTTCGCTGATTTTTCCTAACTCCACAAGTTCTGAAACTTGCAAGAACTTCCCAGAAGCTAAATTGTCTGTGGCTGTTGTATTGAGTCATCAAGAGACATTTTAGGCCATGTATGAAGAAACACTGACAGCACTGTCAATAATTCACAGCTGGACCCCTTTAAAGTCTACAGAAAACCTCTTAATTGTCCTGCTTTTCATTTCACAAGCTTTGTCTGTCTGCTTGAGAGCAGCACGCTGGGTTCTTGCCCTAAGGTCTGATTCTCAGAGCTGCTGTAGAACTTGGCGGCTGTGCGTGGCTAGAGGTTTTGGAGATCAGGCCACTAGCCATACTTCAGTGCAGGGGTCTGAGGCAGGTCCCTCATGGTATAACTACAGCGACCCTGATTCTGCTACCCTTGTGAAGTAGCACCATATTCTATGCTAGTGCCACTGATTCTAGTAGAGAGGGAGAAACTGCACTTCTGCCACTCAGAATTGCCACACAGCAGCTTTGGCCCCAGTTTCCCTTCACCACTGATCTTATTCCATGTAAAATTAATAAAGGCTAGCCCCAGGATCCATAAAAGTGCTGTCTGGGTTGTGCTCTTAAAGCTCTTGATGTGGTCTCCAGCTGACCAACAACATGCTAACCATTGCTTTTGGAGTGATTGCTACCAAAAGGGATACATGGTTTTTAAACAGCCCATTTTATGGAGATACCATTGACTTTGGCTTACGTGCTTTAAAAATGGTTTCATGGCCACGAGTAGTGATCTGAACACGTGTGGAGTGAACCAGCGTCTCATGCACAGTGCTGCTCTTTGGAGTTAATGCAATGTCTCTGGATGCTTGAGAGTCTCAAACTAATTAATTTGCTTTGTTTCAGAAATCAAGGCCAAGGAGGCTTGTGACTGGCTGCGGGCAGCAGGATTTCCTCAGTATGCACAGCTTTATGAAGGTAAGGCTGCCTCTGCTGTATTCTCTGGGGTAGCAATGGGAGAAGCGTTAATTTGCTCATCTCCCCTTTCACTTCCTGCCATCCAGGTCTTTGCTAGTGAATTCCTGAGCTATCTCCAGCTGGGAGAAGTCCTGAGACAGCTCTTAACTTTCAAGAAGAGAAAGCAAGCCCTTTTCCTCTCTTGGGCCAGTACTTGGGGCAGGATAATGGGCTCCAAAGGCAAATGCCCAGGTGTCAGGTGTGGGTGACTGTAAAGACAGACAAACAAGAGAATTCAGAGGAGCCTTCTGTCGGTATCGAGCAGTGGTTCTCAACCTTTTTTGTATGAAGACCCATTTGTAAACATCAGTGGCCAGTCCTGCTCCCCAGTGTGTGGGGCAGGGGGTGGGTGTGTAGGGCATGCAGGGCCTCAAGCTCCTTTAAAAGAGAACCCATTTTTTAAAGTTTGTTTGCAACCCTTTCATATATTGACCCACAGGTTGAGAAACACTGATGTAGAGGATGAATCCTGTGTACCTAGATTCAGAGTAGCTGGTAGCTGAAGCTTAGAGATGTGTGAGTAACAGGGATTCAGGAGGGTCTTCACAGTGGCTGCTCAACTGTTTTTGTCAGGGGGTCACTGGCTAATTATGTGCTCTGACCCAGGATGACATTGTGCTAGGTTGCTCTGGCAGGGTTTCAGGTGACAAGACTCAGATGTAGAGAGCCAAATTTGATTGTGTGGTCCTGTTCAGACCATGGGGATGCATTCCAGGCCTTCCCACCTGAAGGTTTCAGGAATTTTTGCCTTCTGTGTGTGGTTCTTTCCTCTGTGTCTTTGGATGCAGGTCGTCACTACAGGTTTTTCAAAGCACTGAGGCCAGTCTGGAAAGAAGAGACAGAGAGGGCAATTCACTAATTGTTTGATTGTATGTTACAACTTTAAACCTTCCAACATGACAGAGGTCTGGAGAACTGGTCCCACTATTGTCCTTTCAGCATTCCTGAACCTCTCCCCTTCAAGCAGTGCTGCTAGAAAGCTCACAAGATGCCTGGCCAGGCCAGAGAAAGACCAGTCTGAATAGATAACGTTGTCTCCAAGTATTTTAATAAGTGTTTTCTGGAGGCGGTGACACATGTACAGCTAAACTTGGTGTAGCACAGGAGTGGGAATGAATATTTTTCCTCTCTGTACTTAGTTGTCCTTGGTGGCAGTGTCCTGTCCCCGCTCACTAGTTAGTAGCAAGATTTATGCACTCTCCAAGCATGCAGCAGATCATTGCTTGAAACCACTCACATCACTTTATTGTGGGGTCCCTGAAGGGAAGGACATATGAAGAGAGAATGGCTGGATACGTCCAACAGACTTGCTTCTCACACGCCCAGTTCACAAAGTAACCCTTGCAAAGCCTGTCTCCTTACTTTGTTTACCTTAAGAGATGGTGGAGGCCACTGGTCCCGCTGTAGGTGGCCTGTGTTGAATAATTGCAGCTTTAGCGTAAGCTAGCTTAGGGAAAGAGAAGGCTAGAACAATAGGTGGAAGCTGAGCCTTTAGGCAGGGTGCAAAGCCAGCTATTGTTCAGTTTAGACACTTCCACTCATCTCCTCCAAGCACATTATGCATACAAAATGCCACTTCACTGATAGCTTCCTAGGCTGCTTGTTTGTTCCTACTTTCTATTTTAAGGGTGACCTCCTTGTGTATCCCAGTGCAGAGACTGGCCAGATTTCTATAGGTGAGGTCCATGTCCAGTTCCTTTGGGTTGCTACTCACTCATACAAAGGGGGACAAATATCTGGTTCTAGATACTGGGAAATAAAACCCTGTCTCAACTTAGGCTTTGTTAGATCAGTCCCTTACTGTCTCATTCTGTTTTGCAGCCTGCACTTCACAGCTTCAGTTTCAGCTAGGCTTTTGCACTCATAGGAGATAGGTAAAGTACAACCATGTATGTAGGTTCTCAAGCAGAGCTACCTTAAAAAGGAACAGGAAAAGAGCAGAGGGACCTTGCCATACAGAACTCATCTGCGTGGGTGGTGCTTAGCACCCATCATGCAGTATTTTTGGAAGATCCTAAGAGAGATGGAGAGGCAGTGATAGTTGCCTTTAAAGACACCGCTGCTCTAAGCATGTGCTAACTTCATTCCCTCCCCCAGCAACTGCCTGGAAGCCAGCAAATGTGTCTGTTATCTGAGACCTGACTCACGTCTTTTGAGTCAGTGCTGGGGCAAATTGGGTGATAATGTTAGGGCTGCTGTGCTGTCCACATCCCATACCACTTCCTTGACTCAGGATGGGTTAGGGAAGGAGAACAGTCTGAGAAGGGCATCGCAACACAGTAAGTGCTGTCTCCCAATCTTGTTCTCCTCTCTTTTTTCCTTCCTTTGGGGGGAGATGAAGATTCTTCATTTGAACCACAGCCGTGGGCACACTGAATGCTAATGAGAGATGCAGACCAGCTATGCTCAACCCAGAGCCCTTAGTTGCCAGAGCTGGCTGTAGAGGAAGTCCTGATGCATCAGCTTGGTGCCATGGTCACTGATTATAGAACAGTTTTGCTCCCCTTATGAAGTTATAGTTTTGAGCCTTGCTGTGGATGTGTAGCTAGGGCAGTTTCAGAGGTGGGATTCTGCTGTCTGGTGTGCACAGGTTAAGCTCTTAAAATGGCTTGTTCACTACAGGGACTGCTAAGCTTAACAGAGCGTCTTTGGCATGGCACTGCCTTCCCCTAGGCTGCCCCTGTCCACATCGTGGGTCTCCCACACCTGTATGGAGTTCTGCTAGCAAATGTTCTGAGCAAAATATTTTCTTCTCTGGCTGCTAAAAGGAGTGTGTGATTTAGCAGCTAGAGCTCATGATTGGGGCAGTTTTAAAAAATGGAAAGCGTTTTCCCCAGAGGTGCAGGACATGTCAGGGTTACTTCCTCTTGGAGCATTTACTCTGCAGGGAGGAAACTGCCTGTCTGAGAATGAGCAGGTGAGATAGGAAGCTCAGTAACGGGGTTGGCATTTCTCAGTGATCTTTGGTTTTGTATCTGGTATTCCCATCCTTTGTCCTGTATACCTTGTTTTTCCCTTTCCAGCACCATCTCTTTGTCTAACCCATATTTCCAGTCTCTGCATTTCTCCTGTGCTCATCATCATGACACTGAGACCCCAGCTATTGCCTGCTCATCTTTCTCCTAGTCTGCCTTCTGTCCATCTTCTCTGGTTTGCCCTCTGGAAGGTGCCAAAATGTGCGGCAGCTGATCATCTTTCTAGTGGAGGACAGTGGGCAGAGAGTATGGTTAGCCCTTTTACTTTTCCTTTTGGAGCATGTATTTTGAATACTCTGCCTTGGAAACTCCCAAGGCAGGTTGGAGCTATTCACTGAGTAGTGGCATATTGTATCTGACCCACTGGGAAGGATACCACTGCTTCCCTCTCCCACTCTTTGGTCCCAGGGAAGCAAGTATTTTGCAGGTGTTCTCCTGGGATAGGTGCTCCATGTGGTAATGTGATGCACTGTAGATGTATTACCCCAGCTTTAATGGTATTTTTCAGTTCTTGGGGTGTTTGCCTAACACAGTAGAGTACCATATACCTGAATGAGCTGGTTTGGGTATGCAGCAAAGCTGGTTTTCTGCCCACAGTAGTGCACCCTACTATGTATCAGAGCTAACTAGTCTGGACAGGGTGTCATGCTAATTTAGCAGTACTGTTCCAAGTACCTTTGCTGGCTTGTCCAGAAGTAGCACTGGTAGCCTTCTGCAACACTCAGCTGTGCCATAGAGACATATCCTTATTTACACTGCAAGTTGTTGGAGTTCAAAAGGCCTCCAACCTTCTACTCTATTTGTCTTTCATTATTCTCCCTTCTCTTCTTTCTCCACATCTCTCCTCCTCCTGTGTCTCCACACTTGTCTTCTCCCCCAAATCCCCACTTAGTCTTCTGTTGGAGTTGGTGATTCACAAGCTGAGACTCTAATCCACCTCCTGCTCTTCTCTTCCTCAGCCTTGCTGTTCCCTATTGATATCACCTCTGTGAAGACTGACCACAGCTTTTTGGACGAGGACTCCCTCACATCTCTGTGCAGGTAAAGATCACCTCAAAAAAATAAGTTATACAAAGAACAGAGGAACAGCAAGGACCCCTCAGGCATCAGTCTTCCTGCTCCCCTGTACTGCATTGTGCCTAACCAGGAACGTCAAGTTGAGCAAAACTCCCTAAGAAAGGAGTAACAAATAATAGAGGCAACACAATTTAATGGATTAGGTATGAGGCTAGAAAGGAGAGGCAGGGGGATCAGGGGACTTCAGTTCTCACTCTGTCCCTGATGCTGATTCCCTCTAGTCATGCCTTACTTTTTCAGTATTGTTTTCTTCACCTGCACAACATGGGGTTGGGATGTGCTATTCCACTGGATGAGTAATGGCTTTGTTCTGTTTAGAGGAAAAACCGAATTCTTGTACAGTAGAAGCATCTTGTAAAAAACTTTCTCTATAGGTTTATTTTTTAAATGTTCTGCCTGTGGACTCCCAGTTCCTTATGGCTCTATTTAGAAATGAAACAAGTACTACGCACTGGAAGTCTGTGCATTGACAGTCTTGTCAAGTTGGGCATCATGCCCTTAATAGTAGGATTCAAAGGTCAGGTTGGGATCTGTACCTCAGAAGCTGGCACATCTCTGAATGTTATTGCATCTGTTGCATCTTCTGTACAGTTTTCAGAATCAGGCTTCTCTTGTTATGCTTCCAGGCCTTCTCATGGCTTTTTGCTTTCTAGTTAGTTTACCTTCCCATTCTAGCCACATGTACAGAGGTGAGGAGAAATCACGTAGCTCTCAGCTGAGGTGGGGTACATGAGGGAGTTAAATATCTCAGCTTCTCCTAAAAGGTTTCACTTGGATTGCTGTTTAGAAACATGGAAAGATTCAGTGAAAGAACTTAGGGTTTTTTTCTGAACTAGCTTCCCATTCTCCACTGTTTATTGTTAGTTTCTGTGTAGTATCTCCTCACGCCACATGGGGTATGGAGGAAAATGAATAGTTCTTCACTGTGGCATATTTTGTATAGATTTAGATATATTAATGGGGCTTAGTTATATCTTGCACAATTGAAAAGTGCTTAAGAAATTACATCTTCAAGCTATAGAAAGGACATTTTGTTTATTTGCATTAGCATAGACAGACACTCCATCTGTGTGCAGCTTTTCACCTGGCTGACTTTTGTGTGCATGTCACATGTGAATGAAAGCAAATGTGCATTGAACAAGGTACTAAGGTAAAATGCCAGATGCCAGAGGACTGCCAGTTATCCTCTTGAGTAGTTTGTCAGGAATTGAATTCTCTCCCAGCAATCCTGTAGGGGCAAGTTTGTTTGCTGCAGCTGATTCTACTCTGGTGGATTTAGTCTAAACTAGTGATAGATCCCTTTTGTTTCATGGACTATACAGTTTTCTGGATGCTTCGACTAAGGAGCATAAGAAGTGATTGGCTTGAGAGACATTGGACTCCTTTGTCTGAATGCATGGGAATAGTACCTACATAGTACTTCACTGGAAAGCATGTCTCTCTTTATATCATGAGGGCTGAAAATAGCACCAGTCTATGCCATACATATATTTTTGATAGAGGATCGGTCCTGGTATTTAAGCAGTAGTCTTTCTTAGTATTGTTTTCATGACCAAGACCAAACACTTAATGGAAAGGGCTGTCAAATCCCTTGTATATGATTCCTCTGTTCTTAGTCAAATTTCAAATTGCAAATGATTTAGGAGTCTGAGCTCCTTTGTTTTATATTCCAATATCCTTCCTCATAGCTATGTCCCTGCACTGTCCTCATAGATGAAAGCTTGCATGGGTATTTATGAACAGGACCCTTTTTTCCCTCTCTGACTGGTGCAACACCTGCAACAGAAGCCATATTTAAGCATAGCTGCTGTTTTCTTTAATTATCATGCTGAGGCTGTTCTAATGGAGATGGCTGCATTCTCTGTTACCGTTCTCTTGGGTAGATATGAACTGCTTCACCCTGCACCTCTCCTTGGTCTAGCTTTGGGGAAATGTGGAAGGGTGCTGTGGAAAGGTTTTTGAAGCTCCCAGGTTCCAATCTATTTCTGTTAGAGCTTTTATGTTTCTTTGCTTCCACATGTGTCAGTGTTTGGGTGGCTTGTGTTGTTCTGGGGTTGTTTCGCCCTGCTAACCTAGAACAGGTTCTTTCTGCCTGCTCAGGTGGTTGCTCGCAATAGTCTGCATCATTGCCAGTGCCTTTGGAGAGTGTGCATGGTGGGTGGCATAAATGGAGCCACAGCTCTCAGATAGGAATGCCTCAGGCTGACTTTCCAAAGCCATCATGTAATCTCTGGGGTACACAAGGCAGCCGCATGCAGCATTTAGCTGATTAGAAGGTCAAAAAAGGAAATTTAGTATGCAACTCTTCCAAGAAAACAAAATCCCATACACACATTTTCTCCCCTGCTAGCGCACACATGCCTGCTCACTCTTTGTTTCATCTCTTTCATTCTGCCAAAAGTCTGTAAATATAATCCCTTTGCTTCTGAATTTCTCCAGCCAGCAAGGGACAAAGTGGAAGGCTGTTTGACTTCTTTCCAGATGGGTGACAGGCCGGGCATGCAGCTGGCCTTGCAGCTGCCTGTTCTGCATAAGGCCATGTCTTGTGCTTCTACCTAAGTCCCTTTGCCATCCTGGATAGAAACTGTTGTGGAAAATCTTCCTTCTTCACCACAGGAATCATTATGGTCTTATGAATGCAGGGTCTTTGTCAGTCCTTCAGTACTGCAGACCTCTCATTATTAGACTACTGGTTTCTGTTCAGTTGCTGGAATCTCTTTGAAACCTTCACTCTGAGTTTAGCTAGTTTTTGGGACCTTCAAATGAAGACTTAGCTTGAGCCCTATGATAAATTTAGACTTTTAGTTCTGTTTTTATCTTTTCTGTGTAAAAGTGGCTTTCCTTTTACAACAGGGTAACTAATGACATTTCTTATCTTGCTTTACCATCCTAGTGTCTCCCGGTGGAGATGAGGTGCTATAATTTTTACACTGAGGTAGCCAGGTGAAGTTAACACTGTATTTCCCACCTAGCTATCTCACAATAAAAATTACAGTGCCTTGTCTCCCCTTAGGTGTTTAAGCAGGATAGCTTATGGGCATTAGTCATCTGGTAGCAAAAAGGCACCTTTTTGGCAATGCAGACATAGTCTTTGCACCCTGGAGCAAGCCTTTGCAAAAGCTCTTAGTACAAGTTAATTAGCAATGTATTAACTTAGGTAAAATTGGAACCACAAACTCTAGTCTAGACACACCTGGAGGGGCAAGGTCTAGCAGTTTCAAGTGGTGGTGGCAGTCAGGAACTCATGAACTCTAGTTCTGCCTCTGTCACCGACTCCTGCAGGGCAATTGGCTGAGTCACCTCATGCCTCTGAGCCTTCATTTCCCCAGATAGGTCAGATTTTGTGCCTGCAGAACTTGCACATTAACCCACATCAGAATCTCTGTGGCTTTGTTTCATACACTGCTCATTTGCAGGTTCAGTCCTGCATTCATGCACGTGCAAACAGACTGATTCGTAACTTCTCTGAGACCCATTCAGGAGACCACTTTGGAACTATAAGTGTGTAATGTCCATCAGATTTGTATACCTAACCACTTCCTGCAGGGAGCCCTGAGACCTTTCCCAGACAGTTTCATAGCCATTTGCCTTTTCCTCAGGATCTCAGCAAACAGGGAGGAAATGGGTGTCTCCAACAGAGTTCAGCAGAGATTTAATTAAATTAATGCTGAGGATTTGCCTTCCCACCTGGTGGGATCTCTCTCTACCTCCCTGCTTGTACACTGTCCATTATATTACTAGCTTCCTCAGGGAAACTGTTATTAAATTGCCCAGAATCTAAACAATGAGTTAAGTGAACGAGGCTTAATCCTCTGTCAGCTAAATGTCAAAGCAGTTTAGTTGACTGCCCTGAGTGACTTAATAACAGGCAAGTAGGTCATGTGCCTCATGCCCAAAGCCAGCTTTTTTCCTCCCCTACCTTAGAGCATTTCATTAAACACCCTCAGCGGGGAGGCAGATCATTGCTGTTTCCTTTTACCTCCTGCTGCCACTTTTTCTTCCCATTTCTTTTAGAAAAATCAAGGATTTTTTCCCCATCAGAATGTTTTGCTGGTGAAAGGCACCGGGTTTGCTATTATCCAGACATGCGTGGACATTTAGTACCCCAGGGACAACTAGCAGCAGTGCACCTTGCACAGCTGCTGCTTGTCTCCGGGGAACGCCTGTGCCACATGTGCTCTGGCACACAGTAAGTTACCCCGGGGGTAGCAGGGGAGGCTGGGGCCACCAGCAGCCTTACCTGTGGTCCTGGGGGCCTCCCAGGGCTGCAGTAGTGGCAATTCTGCTGCAAGAAGCCTGGCTGGCAGCTGCAGTGTGGTTCCAGGTAACCCGGCTCCTCCTTTGAGCAGCGTGTGCTGCCTGTGCATGTGCTGCTCTGCTTTTTTTCTCTGTGGGCCTTTTGACCCCTGGATATTCAGGGATCAGAAACCCCCTCCACGCTGCTCCCTTGCAGCGCAGAGAACAATTGAGCGTGTGGTATGTGGCACTGCAGACGTGTCTGCGGCGCCATATGCCACACGGCCGCGTTTGTCTGGACATGGCCCAAGGGGTTAAAGTCCTCTCTGTTTTATCACTAGGGAGATGCATCCTGGGCTGTGACAGAGCAGCTTCCCCCAGTGCTCTGGAGGGACCGCTTCTAGGGTCAGTCACTTGGGACAGGAATGGGCAGTCTCTAGGACTTCTCTGTCAAGGCACCTCCTGGAAGCCAGTCAGGATGGTCTGTCTCTGCCCCTTTCTCTCTCATGCTGGTTTGCACATGCAGTTTTGTGTACAGGCAGAGGCTGATTGGATTTCTGTATTACCTTTCAATGAGCTGCCCTTTGTTTCATTTAGGCTGTTTCCTGCAGCTTTGTAAACTGAGCCAGCAAACTGCAGTGTATTCCCCAGTGTACCACTCAAATGAGCTCCCATGCACAAAGGCGCAGACATAACTCATGCCTGGACCTTGTGTCTTACACACCAACAGCCAAGCCCTTTCACACCAGAGGGAGCAGATAGGCTCTGAGCCACTAATTGATGCAAGCCGGTTTTGTAGCTCTTTCTGAGGTTTATGGGAATGTGCCCAGGAACCTTGGAAAGCAAGGAAATTACCCGGGATCCCATTGTCAGGTCACCAAGGGGGTGGAGCAAGCAGGCTGGCTGCACGATGTAACTGGAAAGAAGCACTCTGTTCATGCTTAGGATGCAAGCACTGGTGAGGTCTTGGCATTGTCCAGCCTGACATGGGCAGGAGCTGTTCAGGCTCCCTCCGTCAGCTCTTCCAGAGCCTTGCTGTCCTGACAGACTGCAGTTCCCCTTTTATGTTGCAGACTGTAGCTGGCCTGCTCTGCCAGTTCACTGGAATCCCTGGTCTGCAGCAGCCCTTGATATATGCAGTATTGTGCTTCTGAACACCTTTTCATTTCACCTGTACCCACCCATCTAAACCAGGACCTGCACAGCTCTGTATCTTCATTCTGAACTGTAGCATCCTCTGCTGATACAGACCTTCACTCGAGCCAGTCACTGCACCTCAGTCTTACTTCTGGGCTCACTCTGCTTTTCCAGTCCTGGGTTCCTGGATCCCAGGCAGATTAATCACCTCAGGCCTGAACTACAGCCTTCCCATCTACACAGTTATGCCAATGTGCTTTCATTCTAATGCAAAACCTGCTGTGTCCCATCAGACTTGCAGCCTATAGACCTCATCCCTGCTCCAGTCTCCTTACCTCTCCAATCCTGGCATTCCTGTCAGTTATGATGAACACATATTCAGGTGTAGACTGAAGATGATTTGAAGTCAGGCCACTAACCTCAAATGATCTTCAAATGCACTGTGTCACTAAATCAAATCCTACTAATTTAATTAGTTCAGTGACATTTATAGAATTCCTGCTGCTGGCTTCTCTCATTTATACTCTGAAAATCTCAGGGCTTGGTGGTGTATTTGGAGAGGGCTATCTTGATTTAAAAAAAAAAAAGAGTTGGATTGGTTTCTTGAGAGGAAAAGGGTAATTTTGTATTTAAGATGTATAACCCCTTCAGTACCAAGGTGAGTTAAATGCACTCCTCTGGCATGACCTGAAGTGCCCAGTCCAGGCTGACAGTCTGTGGAGAACAGCTGCTGAGGACACAGTTACATTCCAGCATGAGTGAATGGGGCTGACTTGTGTCCATGGAGAGAAACTTCAAAAAGCAGAGCAAGTAGCTTGTGGAACCTGTGGCAAATGGGATTTGGAAGGCAGTCTCAGGCCATGTACAACTCAGTCATGTGCTGGGGTGCTGTGTGTGGTCAGAGGTAGGTCTTTGAAGGGGTGCTATTCCCTAATTAGAGCACACATAGGTGTAACTAGAGTAATTGCAGGTCCTTGAAATACAGAGTATCCAGGAACCTGCATCACAAAGGAGCGGGGTATTTCTCTGACTTAGATGCTTGTAAAATGGCTTTGGCATGAGATGAAAGTGTTATACCACTGGCATGTCAGAGCAGTCTGAACTCCTCAGTTGGGAAGCCGAAGACACACATGCTTGCACTTTCATTTTGTGCAAAAGGCAAATGTGAGGAGTCCATTCTTTGTTCAGCTGAGCAGGCCATCAGGGCTGTACTCCACTGGGAGTGAGCTTTGCCTTCCCCCAATCTCCATGCTTCCATCTGATCCCCAGCTGTTTAGGGACAGGTGATGATGCTGCCATAAGAGCCCTTTCAAAAAGCTGTAGTAGCAGGAGACCAAAAGGAGACAAATGCTTCTCTTGTTTGTTTGCAGGAGGCTGATGACCCTGAACACATGTGCCACCATGAAGCTGGAAGTGCACTGTGAGCAGAAACAGGTAAGTCATGAGGCTGCAAGGGTGCAGCAAGGCCAGAGAGCTGCAAGGAGTGGGTTCTGCTCCAGTGCAGTAGCAACCAAGTACGCTCCATGGCTTTTAAAGGGTGCTGCCCCTCCTCATTTCTGCCTCCTAAATTATATTAAAAAGCTGGTAAAAAAAAATCTTCCCTACCAAATAATACATTTCCATATAATCATGGTAGCTTCCACAAAGATGTTATGTGATACCCAGGTGGTAGGAGAGGTGGGTCAGGAGAAAAATGCTCCATTATCACAAGTGGAAGGGGTGATATCCAGGAGAAAATCTATTAGTGTGAATGTTGGGAACATGTGAGAACACCTGTTCTACCAGATTTTGAAGGACGTGCTTTAGCTGGCTTTTATCTGGGAGCCTTCTAGTATTGTTCTTAATGCTTCTGTTTCTCTGTTTGATACCAAATTCCTGATGGCAAATTGAGGATCTCACAGGCAGGGGAATCTTGGTGAAATCTGGGTTTCTCCCCTTTGTTTTTGTTTTGGGCGTAATGCCTTCCCCCTTGTCAATGGTTGGCTTGGTGTTGGGATTTCCATTTACCCTGTTTCAGTGAATTCCATATTGTTGAGAACCTTGGAAAAAAAATGCTTCAGGTAGTTTGTCTCTAAACCTCACTCAAACTTGTTCTTATTCACCATAATAAGATATTTTACTGTTCTACCAGAGTTCTTCTGTAAATTTCCTGGTGATGGGAAGTTGTCTCAAAGCAGCAGGCTGGAGTAGGGGGGAGGTAGAGTCTGTCTGCAGCTGCTTTTAGATGAGCCATAATGCAGTGCCATACTGTTATACATAAACTAGAAGGGGATTTCCTTGAGCAGTTCTTTAGCAGGATGGATTAATAAAGAAACCTAGCTTTGCAGAGGAGATTCCCTTGGGGTGAATAAAATTACCCCATATGTCTCGGACAATAAAACACTACTATGAATATGTTGTTTACTGTGGCTATATAAGGATCATGCCCCACCTGGGCTCTATAGCAGCTGCAGGCTTAACACCTTGAAGCTGAAGGTCTCCACTTGTCCTGCAAAAATTGCAGGAAGGTCAGAGTTTGGGGCATTGTTCCAGTGTCCGGATCGCCAGCCCTCGAGGACACAAACAACCTGAGAAAGAAAATGAGGGTGGAAAGGAGGTTTTTGGATAGCTTTGAGTTGTTTGTGCTGTAATTATTTCTGGAGTCATGAGGGAACAGTATTAAAAATCAAAATGCCAGATACAGAATAGATTATTACTAAGACAGTGGTGTTCAGGGATAAATGTAGCTGATGGTTTTCTGATAGGAGTTAGTAAAACAGCTGTGAGATCTATCAGATGAAGAAGCCAGCATCTAGGTCACAAAGAAATATCCAGAGCTTTAGGTGGGCTGGGGGGAAAAACACTGCTATCTCAAACTCTAGTCCAAGAATGGGTTTGGGTGGCAGTTGGTTGTCCTTGCATGGTTTTTTCAAGGCATTGCACTTTACTCCACTCGTACTCCTCTCCACCAGCAAAGTAGCATGTTCCTTGGTTTCCATTCCAGCAGAGCTGTTCACATGTTTTTCAGCTTTGGTAAAAATTTCCAGCAAGAAAAAAGAGATAGTTTTGACACTTTGGGCCCATTTGCCCCTCTTATTGACTCTGTTCTTACACTTACTTTTCTACTGTAGCACACTACCTTGCGTCCTTGGTAACTACCATTAGATTATGGATGCACATTCATCAGAGGTCCCTGTACGTCTTTTAATAAGTGATAAATAATGGCTCTATTGTATACAGCGGACCAAAATCAGTATGGAACAAATGGCTTCTATGGGTACCCATTGTTCCAAATTCCCCTCTCTGTATTTTGGAGAGGTGCTACCAAATCAAACCTTCCCAAAATCTGCCTTGATTCCTAAAAAGTAGATGGAGATTTAAATCCTGTAACAGTTGTGGGCCACCAGAAGTCAAATGCAGCCTGACCTCTGTGTTGTCTGTTGGGTCTAGCAGGCCAGGAGTCCCAACACTCGAACTGTGACCCAGAAACACTTTTAATACAAACTAATATATCTCAAAAGCAAATACTTCCATCTCTCCCTCTCCCACTTGGGTGCAACTGCAGTGTTTGTTGTAGGACTCGCTTCATTGTGTGGTGAGAAACCTTCTCTTCTAATTCTACAACGTAAAAATGTTCATGCCAGGCAGGCTCAGGGACTGGCTGTGTGAAAGTGACAGTGGGAGAGAGAGGCACAACAGCAGGGCACGCAGTGCTATTACAAATATTTGAAGTCCGGACAGGACCGTGTTTCTTCTCTCTACTTTCTAACCTTTTGAAGTAGCTGGAACAATCACAAAAACATTTAGAAATAGAATGGACAAAGCCCTTGGGAATTTAATATAGGGAGCAACCCCCTGCAGTAGTTTCCCAGCAGTGGACAAAACAATGAATGCTTTGTCTCTCTCCTCCAAAATGTAACTGCATAAAAGGTGAAATGGATTTGTTTGGTGTCCTACAGTGTCTCATATGGAGTACATTTCTCTGTTTGTGATGATGTGTTATGGCTTTTCTCTTATGTATGTGGTTATTAGTGGATCCAAGTAGCCCTGCAAAACTCAGGGGGACCATGGTTATGTTATGATGATTCAGATGGTCTGTGTTGATCCTCTGTGGTTCTTATTCTTGGTGCAGAATGAAGACTCGGATGAAGATGTATGTGCCATCAGCAACCGATGGACCTTCCAGAAGGACAGTAAAAGGTGGTCCAGAATTGGCTCTGTTGAGTCCCTCTCCCACAGTTCAGAGGTGCTGAACACTGTAAAGCAGGCATCCAGCCATGAGAGTGTCCTTACAGACCTCAGCACCAATGTGGAGGCTGCTTCACTCCATAGCAATACCAGCACAGGCAGTACTGGTGACACCCTCTGCAGCGTGGTCACCATGCCTGACCTGTCACCCAACCAGGACCCTGCAGTCATTACCTTCACCTCTAGTACCCAGTCTCTAACAGACAAATCCCAGGACCAGACTGGGAGCTCCAAGGATAAGCTCAAAAAGCGGAGGTCTCGCAGCTTTCTACGGAGGATAGAGTCTTTCCGAAGGAAGAAAAAAGAGAAAACTGATTCCAGACCTAAGGAAGCCACTAGCGATGAGACAGCAGTCGAACCGGAGTGTGATTCTGTGGAGGTCAACGGGGACTTTATAGCTGCCAAGACCACCTCCCTCAGACAAAGAATGTCTCCCTCCCTCCTTGACAAAGATCTGTTTATGTCAGGAGGAGATGGGGTTGACCATGTATCAGACTTAAAAGGCAGCAAAACAGGCTGTCAGCTGAAACACAGTGGGGTCGACCTGGAGCAATGTAGAAAGGTCCTGGTAAATGGCACTAGCTCATCCATTAGAGAAAGCCACCAGTGGCATTCATACAGTGACTATTTGATCCACATTCCTGCAGACCACAAGCCAGGGACTTTCCCCAAATCTCTCTCCATTGAAAGCTTGTGTCATCTGTGTGACAGGTCCTTGACCAACTGGACACCAGGGAACAAAGCAAGGGAGTTTTCAGAGTTCAGCCTAGATGACAGTAGCAGTGGTTCGGCAGACTCTCGTCAAACGAGCTGTGGGTCCCGTCAGAGGCGGAATTCATGCAGCTCCATCAGTAGCATAATGAGTGTGTACGACAATGTGCCCCAATGTGCCAGCAGCAAAGAACAGCTTGATTCTGTCTTGGACTACGTCCTGCATTTGGTAGAGAGAGTGGACAGCTGGTATCAGGCTATCATCCCTATGCAAGACAGTGAAGCAGGGAGGAGGGAGAAGACAGACTCAGGTGGAGAAGTAGAGAGGAAGGAGAAGACAGACTTAGGCAGAGAAGCAGAGAGGAAGGTCAAGGCAGACTCAGATGGGGAAGCAGAGAGGAAAGAAGAGACAGACTCGGGAGAGGAGCCTGCCTTTATGTCCAGTCTCAACTTGGAAAAGCAGTCCATGTCTGACGTTGGCACCTCCACCAGCGACTTTGGCAGTACAGGCCATTCCCTGAACGAAGCTGAGGAGATCGAGATGAGGGAGCGCAGAGATTCAGGAGTGGGAGCATCGCTCACCAGACCTTGCAGGTAGGCCAGCCAGACATATCCCTGAGCAGTTGGCTTGGGGATGACACCCGTTGGATACTCCTCCTAATGGCAGCTTGTGTTCCAGTGGATGAAAGAGATGGTCTCATTGCTGTAAGGGTGAGGTAGAGGTTCATTCTGGGGCTAATTTATCCCAGATGTGACCCCTGGCAGCTCATGAGTCTCCTCGCTGGAGAGGAAGGTTTTATATTAAGGATCATCAACCCTTGTGTTGTTTTGCATCCTATTTTCCTCTAGAGCTTACTTCCAGGTTCCTTCAGAAGCATCAGTGCTATTCTTGCCTAATCTACGAAGGGTCACTGACAAACAGTACAAGAGGCATTATTTCTACTGAGAAATCCCTTTTGCCTTAGCTATAACACCCTCTTCTGGTAACACTCTATGATTTGCTTATTGCAGTAGTCCCTATTGTCACCAGAACCTGGAATAATGTTCCTTGGGCATGTAGGCTGGTGCTGACCAAGGTGCAGGACACTGAGCTCTACCAGCTGATTATTTCACCGTGGCTGAAGTGCTATGAAACTAATGAAGACCCTGGTAAAAATAAAACAAAACATTTGCTTCCTGAGCATGTTCTGAACAAGAACCAGCCTGGAAGGCTTACAGTAGCCAGAGTTTGAGTCTTTGGTGCCCTCTAGAGGACCAAACAAACACAGGTCGTATTCCTGGAGGGACGCAATATTCATATGTAGTGTTTGGCCATTACAAGGTGGTGGCCTTAAAGTACACAGGTATTTCAGTGTGTCACAGAAGAACCTGAATTTATCCATCCAGGCTTGCTTTTGCCACTTTTCCTTAAGATCATTTGTTTGGAAACCAGAAAATTAATGCCCAAGAATTTGCTCTTAAAGACGTTAATCTTATGGTTTGCCTCTCTGAAAAAAAACTGGCATCCACTCAGCTGCCCTGTTGCTTTAATTCATCAGGCCCTGCATATTTAAATAGTGGAGGGTAACTTGTCTGCTGGTGAAGAGGGTGTGGGCATTTAGCTAGGCAGTTTCCCATTACAGTCAGCTGTGACAGTCACTCACATCTCCCTGCACATAGAGATCCACCCCAACAGAGCATGGGCCTTGTCAGAGCAGAAAGGTTTGAGGAAAGTTGTGCACCATCCAGGCTGGGCAGAGCTGCTTTCTACTGAGTGTGTTCAGCTCCATTCATTCTTCACAAAGGAAGCCTTGACTTGGGGTGTTTGTTTTCACCCTACTTTGGGATGGATCTCCATGGTGACCCTCAGCCAAATTGTCATGGTACTTCCTACTGTTGGAAAAGAGTCTCCTGCCCAAAGTAAGCATGGGTTTTTGTAAATGTCCTGCAGGCTTGCATCTCTTTCACAGTAGAGACTCTCACCTAGATCCTTGCAAGTCCCTTGGGCTGGTGTGATATAAATGCCTTGATGGAGGGATAGATGATAGGGCCTAAGTACTAACATGAGACTTGTGGGAATCACGGTCTTTTCTGCATGATGAGTCAGAGTGTGGTCAAACCCTATGGCATAGTTACTTAGACTGGGGCACAGCTGTGTGGCTGGGGGTGTTCTTGGTTACCTCCGGTGTTGTATAGGTGACCAACAGAGTATAGTTCTGTGGAACGAAAGAAAATGCATCTAGCGAAATGATGCACAGCATTGGAGATCTAAGTGGAAATACTCCCTTCATGCGTAGTTTGGGATGGAGGGTTTTGGTGTGGACACACTAACCTGCCCAACCCTTCTACTCCTGGAGGTAACTGATATCTCAGTTCACTCCTGGGCAGGGGAGAGGAGGGCACAGTGCTTGCTGACTGGGTGCCTGCCCTGGACATGTGCTTAGCACCCAGGAGCTATGGGTGGAATGGGAAGCAAGCACCTTGCACTTTGAAAACTGCCCTGGGATCCTTTGCTCCCGACTCTCTTTCCTTGCAGGAAGCTGCGCTGGTACAGTTTTCAGAACTCCCAGCCCTGCTTGGATTCTGCTTCCTTGGAGATCAACTGCCAGTCATCTGCTCAGCTGAACCTGCTCCAGAAATGCTCGCTGCTTCGCCTTACTGCCATCATGGAGAAGGATTCTATGTCCCCAAAACATGCCTGGACATGGTGAGCTGGTGGGGTGAACGTGAGGAGGTGGTAGTGGGAAGCTGGACGATTAGGACTAAGCATCAGGTTTCACATCTAGGCTCCCTGAAACTCCAGATTTAAACACTGGACCCACTGACAGCCCTTCACCTTGCTGTGGCAGATGGTGAATTCCATCTGTGCCCAGGGCGACAACGGAAGATATTTTAAATGATGGAAGCCCTCTTTGTTGTATGTGAACAGTAAATACTGTATGTGGCTTCTAGAAGAAGTTTGCACTAGGAAGCAGCCATGGTGCCTTCCTTCCATCCCAGAAGGATTTGCATTTCAGGGGTGTTGGATGCATGTGGTCTGTGAAGCCCTTTGGGAGGGAAGAGGTTGGAGAAATGCATGAGAACACCGCGGTGTTTCCCTGTTGTAGTTGTGTAAATATTCTGTCCATAGCTGGGGTGGGGGGTGTCTGTGTGTAGCGCTCCCTGCCTAATCTCCAGCTTGCTGCAAAGGGAAGGTGATTGCCGTTCTGACTTATGTCTTCACTTCTCACAAGGACTGTGCCCAAATTCATGAAGAGGAGTAAAACCCCAGACTACAAGGACAAAATGGTCTTTGGAGTCTCGCTGATGGTCACCGTACAGAGGACAGGACAACCCCTGCCTCGGGGCATCCAGCAAGCCATGCTTTACATCCGCAGCAAGTGCCTAGACCAGGTGAGAAGCAGCTGTTGGCAGCACAGCTGGGAGTGTCCATTTCCCTGCCCATAGCTAACCTGCAAGGAACCTTTCAGTCTGGTATCAGCTGGCCAGGACTTCTCAGTACTGCCCGAACATGGCAGGAGATGTTACTGTGTCATAGAGTGAGAAGGACAGTTCCTTTATGGGTGCCACTGTCTTAACCCCATTGGGGGCTGCTCCTTAACATGATATATTGCCACTCAGGGAGGTGTGGCATTGTTTGCCGTGGAAACCTCTTCAGTCCCAGTCTTCCAGGGACTGGTTCTTAATGAGTATAGGCCCCACCCACACCCTTCTCAGTAGGTGAGGAAGAGGCCTCCTTTTTCAGAATCCAATCTCGTACCCTGCTGCCACCACCAGCGTTGTATATTGGGGGCACTTATTTCTTGCTTTGGAATGGGCATTGGCAGATGCCAGGAAAACCTTCAAGGTGGTGATGGGACTGTGTGCCCTGCAGAAGGTTGGGGCTTATTCCAGTGTTAATTCCAATCTCTGCTTCCAAAGCTAAAGTCCTCACCTGGGTGCCCAGCACAACCTTCACACAGTGTGCCAATGTGCTTTTCCTAGAGTCAGGAATGGAGCTTTTCGCTTAGCCAGTGATTTGAGACCCCTTCTTCTTGAGTGCTGCTGCCTTCTAAGTCCCTTGTTCAGGGCTATACTTCCTGTGCTATGGAGAATATAAGCTTGTTGGGACAGTCTCTTGATGGGCATCACAGAATATGTCTTGGGCATCTGGTTGCCCAGGCAGTGGAGCAGAGGCTGAGCTGGCGCCAACAGAACTTGATTTGGTGAGATCTGACATCTGTTTCCAAACTTGGCTGTAACTCAGGGCTACGTTGGTGGACTGCGCTAGACTGCATTTTCTGAGCACTCTCCAATTCTCCTTCTGGGCAGGTTGGCATTTTCCGAAAGTCAGGGTCGAAGTCTCGGATCCAAACACTGAGAGACATGAATGAAGCTTCCCCCAACAATGTGAATTATGACGGGCAATCCGCCTATGATGTGGCAGACATGCTGAAGCAGTATTTCCGTGACCTGCCAGAGCCTATCTTCACTAGCAAGCTCACTGACACTTTCTTGCAGATCTACCAGTGTAAGTGCTACCCACAGGAGCAGAGCGAGGCAGGGTCCTTGGGAATGGCAGAGGGCCCAAGCTCTAGAGTCAGGTCAGAGCAGTTGACAAAGCAAGCTGACCACTGTGGCTGTTGCCTGGCTAAGAATGAAAATCAAAGACTCAGCAGCCAAGCCATTGTCACTGAGGTGTCTCCACAAAAATCCAAGAGTGGAGAGTCTGTCTATGGGAACAGAGGCAGTTGTGTGAGAGCCAGACTTTATTCTTTATTTGGCCCTCCCAGTAGATGCCCTTGTGGTAAACTCTCCTAGACATACATTTTGCCAGCACTAACTGTTACCTGCTGTGGGGCTGGCAGGCAGGGAGCAGTGACCAGAGCAGACCTTTGACATGGAACAGGGAGAACAGCAGAAGCTTCAGAGCATAAAACCTAATGAGGAAATTGGCTGGGCCCTTTCCTTAGGCCTTGCATTTGTCACTAGTATTTTGACTGTAGGATTTGGTTGCCTAGTTGTGATCTTCTGCTTGCTCTTGTGAAACTATAGACTGTTAATCGTAACTCCCTGAGAAATGTCAATAGGTAGGATTTACATGCTGAATCAGTACATGAACAAGTGTCACTGTGACCAGCTCTCCATGAGAAGTGGCCTGCAGCCTTGGTCTGTTGGACTGGATGCAGCTTCAGTGAGAGGAGGACAATTACATAGTTTCCTGAGGCCTCATCTCACTGCCCCCAGGTTCAGTCAGGAGCTCTGCCAAAAAACAGAGGGATCCCTAGAGCAGAGGGTCCCAGAGGTATAGTTGACCACACACTCCCTTTTCTTTGCCTTCAGTTGTCCCAGCAGAGCAAAGGCTGCAAGCTGTCCAGGCTGCTATTCTTCTGATGCCAGATGCGAACCGGGAGGTGCTGCAGGCACTTCTCTACTTTTTAAGCGAGATTGCCTCAGTGGAGGTGAATCAGATGACACCCAGGAACTTGGCAGTGTGTTTGGCCCCATCCATCTTCCACCTCAACGTGTCCTCCTCACCAAGGTAAGGGCACAGTGACTGTTGCACTTAATTTCAGTTAAAGGGTGGCGTGAATGGAATGAAATGATTGGTGATACCATTCCAGTCTCAAATTCAGATTTATTAAACACATAAGCAATTGCACTATTTGAGCAAAACCCCAAACAGTCTGTAGAGGTATTCCTTCCAAACTGTGCACAATGACTCCGCTGCCTAGGCATTATCACAGCACCAGGGATCACAGACAAACACTCAGAAAATGACCGTCTCTCTCCTTAGGCATCCCCTGTTCAGGAGGCATATTGTTGTGGCAGACAATACCAGCCAGGGGAGTGCTGTCTTCTTGCTTTGGGACAGGTCCACAAACTTAAGTTGTTTTCTTAGGTTTTTATACCCTTGTACAGTTTTCTTCTGTATATCCCATATAGGGTCATGCTATAGATCCTCACCAGTTATTTTTTACAATGGTTCTTTCCTCATCAACCTGTCACCCTCAGCTTGTTTCTTCTGAATTTACTTCACACCTACTGAGCCATTCTTGGGTTTGTCTTGGTTCTCTATTCTATCTTGTTTTTCTAAATTCTCCAGCTGTCTACATTTTGTTTTGCCTGCAACAGTTGTTTTTGTTGCCTCTGTGCTCATTTCCCTTTCCACTCATGGTGTTTGTTCAAACGGAAAAAAAAATGGCCTCAGTTATGTCAAGGCAGCTTATGGGCCTGCAATCCTTTAAGCTGTCCCAGTCCTTCGGAACCACACTCCAGATGCCCTGCATGTTCTCCCCTCCACACTCCTCTCTGTCCCCCCCTCACTCTTTGTCTTCCTTCCTGGAGATACTCCTAGGCCAATGCTCTGGCTGGCTGAGTGCCATCTGGCTGCACTGACTGTCTTGCTGATACTGAAGCTGGGTCTGACTAATGGGAGAAAATGCCTTTTTCCATTCCAAAGAGGTACCCTCAGCCCATGTGCTCTCCTCACCAGAGCTTGCACAGGACAGGCTGATGAAGGAGCTTGCACCTCTCCCCTGCCAGGGCCTGAGGGGAGTTCCTTTGGGAGCTAAGGCACAGTAGATAGATGCCAAGCTGTTGTGGCCAGGGCATTGTCTTCCTGATTGACTGTAAAACACTAAGAACACCAGTGGCAGAGTAATTGCCATAGAGATCGTGTGCCATTGCAGTCCAGTGCCATGCTCTGTGAGACACATAGTCCTGCAAGCCGAAGTCCCAAAGCATGAGCAACCTAGCTCACACACCAACTTTGGAGCTTTCCTGGCAATGCAGAGGAGCTGGATAAGAGAGAATGAAGCAACTGCAGTGCTGCTGTTTTACCACAGGGTGTCTCTCTTAATTTGTGTGATACCCTGACTCTTTTTTTTTGTCAAGGTCTGTGGGGGCCACAACACTGCACTACCTCAGAGGGGGTGCTGTGAAGGTAAATGCATTTCAGATTGAGAGACACCCTGATGCTATGGTGACTGACGGCCTAATATGGACAGAGTGTAGCTAAACAGACTGACTTTGGGGCTGATGAATAAGTAGCAGCCTGCTGCTGTTGTGTTTAAAATATAAAGAGTTAATTGAGGGTGGACTCCTGGTCCTTGCCAGAGATGTAAATAGGAAGTGGTCAGAACCAGCCAAGCACCCAGGATTCATCTTTGTTCGGCTGCTGCAATGGGAGTCATGGTTCAGTTCTTGGCAATAAGAATGGTCATCCCTCCCTATTGCCTTAAGCAGAAATGGGTCTCCAATGTGACTCTTTTATTGTCTTCCGGTTCCAGGGCTGAAGCACCCACTGGATGGGCCCAGAAAATGCATCAGCCTCAACCCTCACTCCCTGTCTTGCTTGCAGCTCACCCCTCCCTCTGCTTGGGCTCACCACTTCCCATTTTCTTGGCAGGGTGGCTCACAAGAAAGGCCCCATGGGAAAACCAGACCAGAAGGAGCTGGATGAGAATATGGCTGCCACCCAGGGCCTCTGCCACATGATCACTGACTGCAAGAAACTGTTCCAGGTGGGTGGGTAGTCACAGCTCATGCAGAGCAGGGCTACCTGGCCACTGGCATGGCCCTTTCTGTTGTAAAGCTCAAGTGCCTCTCAGGCACAAATGAGTTTGTGAGCTCAGGAATTGCTGTTATCCCCATTTGGCAAGTGAAGCACAGGGGGGATGAAATGACTATCCCTGGCCAGGTAGCTGGTAACTGAACTCAGGGTCTGTCTTCCCCATGCTGCCTTGTAGAAACTGGCCAGCTAGGGGCACTTCTGTGTATGCGTTCAAGTAAGACTTGTAAAAGCCTGAATTCTGTCTTTGGAAAAGGGCCAGAAAGAGCTACATAGAAATAGCAAGTGACAGTGCTTTTTACTGTGTGTTCATGTGGCTTGTCCCCAGATCCAGTGCAACAGACAGGGTGCTGGTCTGTTGCCCTTGCTTGTTGGATGGGATTTGACTGTCACAAGTCTAGTGAGATGTACATCAGGTTGAAAACAAGCCCATGAAGGTCCCCTGCCCTGACACAGGGACCTCTGGGTTACTACACTCACTCCCCCCCATTGTGGGTAAACATTTCATATCCTGCCCCAAACGGATTAAAGGCCACCTGGGGAAGGATGCAGTTGTCCTTTGAAGCCATTTGTGGGCCTTGAAAATCACTGTGCCATGACATGAGGCGCTCGCTTTTCCCATGTGTCCCTGACCACTGACTGTTATGAAACCCAGTGCACTCAGCCCTGAGACAAACAGGCCAGAAGTGATAGTTAAGCCCACTGGTATCTCACCTACCAGTGCAAAGGACATAGTGCACAGGACCAGCACAGACAGGTTGGTGGGCCTATATCCATCCCTCTCTGCTGGCCAGATGGGATGTTGTAGTGTTCCAGTAACTACTGCACTGCATCAATCCAAGGGTTTATCTAATCCAGGATCTTGGTTTTGACAGTTACCTGGGTCAGAAGTTTGAGAAGCATGCAAGAAACCCCCTAGTTGGCAGTTATTGAATATCCTGCCAGAGGGGTATTTCTGCTGAATCTCTTCACTTAGTGCTTGGCTTATTTTCTCTATTGAGATATTTTATCTCCTGCATTATGTGGCTGCACCCATCTGGTATCTAGGGATAGCAGCTGGGGAGCCAGGTGCACCTAGTGAGCCTCAAAATCCTGGTCTGTCCTGACACTTGGGGTTCAGCAATGTTTGTGATACTGATGCTCAGCACTGCAGTGAGCCTGCTGGCGTGTAGGAAGAGGTCAGAACTTCCTGGTCCATTTTTAGGACATCAGGTGGGTGACGACTTTGTAACAGCTTGGTCTTTGATGTTCCATGTTTCCTTTGTAGATCCCCAAAGACATGATGCTCCAGCTTTGCAACTCCTACCTGGCAACAGAAGCCTGTGCACTCCCTCAGGCTGAGCCCACACATCAGAATGTGCAAGGGGAGTGCAAGGATCTTCAAATTTTTTTGGATGACAGCATGCAGAGCCTTCTCAAGGAGTCGTCAGAGAAGTTTAAGGCATGGCTCAGCACACCAGGGCCCCAGAACACAGAGATATCATGCAAGAAGGTAACTGCCACATTGGGAAGGGCTTGCACACATTGGTGGATGTGGGGAAGTTCATCTCAGACTGATTAGTGGCCTGTGGGCTAACAGATTCCTTTGTGAACCTAAGGAACATGTAATATGGTCATGAGCTGAATTGCTTCATCACCTACAACTGGTACTTTTTTGGCTGGGTAGGGTAGTCGGCAATCCCTTCCAGCACTATCCACCCTATGCTGCTTGTGTGATGACAGTAGGCATCAGATGTTGGAAAATGACCTAGCCAGAGTGAACCATAGGGTACTCTGTGTCTGTCATCTGCAATAGCGAATCTCCTTGATAGGTAGTACAGCTGGGTGGGCCAGATACATAGGCCTCTGTTCAGGGATTTGCCAGCTAGCTGGGCAGGTCTGGCATGTTGTGTCTCCTCCTCCCCCTGCCCCGCCTCCCTCCCCCCCCACCCCATAGTGGGCAGGTTGCATGTATTC